TTAAAAAACTTGTCAGTAACCGAAACGTTGCTGTTATCCGGCCAGATAAAGGCTCAGGTGTCGTCATTTTAAACGGATCTGACTATGTCTCCAAAATGGAAGATATTTTAAATGACAGGACAAAATTTAAGCCCTTCGAAAATGATTAGCTTAAGCTTACTCTTAAGCGTGAGGAAAAGTCTCATCAGACTTTCAAATATTTCAAAAATTGTAAAATCATCTCTGACACCACTTTTACAGAACTCTACTTTACAGATTCCCGCCCTGGCTTTATCTATGACTTATCGAAAATACATAAAAATGGTTTATCTTTCAGAATTATTCTATATACTCTCGGTTTCCACACCTACAAACTTATTAAATTTCTTGCACCTGCATTAAGCACACTAACTGAGAACGAATTTATTGTTAAAGACTCTTTTTTTCTTTGCTCAAGATATATCTAAATTTCCCAATATAAACCAATTCGTTATGTCCAGTTTTGATATTCAGTCCTTATTCACTAACATCACACTTGAGGAAACAATTAAAATAATTATTAAACAGTTATTCCCAACCAAAAATGTCCTGAACTCCAATCAACACAAATTCAAACAGTTTCTTAATTTGGCCCTCAGGGACAGTGATTTCGTTTTAGAAGGTCATCTTTATGGCCAGATAGAAGGTACGTTGATGATACTTTTCTATTCTTTCAAAACACTGATCACGCCAAGAAGTTTTTTAGAATACCTAAACTCACAACAACCGCATATAAACTTTATATGTGAGATGGAAGAACACGATAACTTAGCTTATTCAAACATCCAAGTAAACAAAATAAACTATTTCTTTGCCACATCTATTTACCGCAAGAAAACATTTACTGGATTACTACACTCATTTCGATAGTTTCATACCAGACTTCTTCAAACATAACCTTGTTCTAAATCCTCTTAACAGAGCATATAATATCTGTTCTGACTACTTCTGTTCACTTAGAAATTTCCAAGATTCAAAGCATATTACAAACTAATGGTTATTCTCGTAAGTTCTGACACTCTATCACTCGAACATTTTAAACAAATAAAATTGAACCCACCAAGAAGTCACACACTCTCTCGAAGTATCCAATAGTTCTTATCACATCTTTTGTTTTAAACTCAAATCGTATATTCAAAAAATAATCAAAATATATTACCCATAAATTAAGCTACGTTTATTATTTGCGTCAACATTTAGGATTAAAAATGTGTTTAAAACCAAAAAATACTCTACCTATCTCTATGCACTCGGGAGTCATATATAAATACACTTGTGGTAGTTGTAAAGCTACTTATATTGGTAAAACTGCACATCACCTACAAATACTTTCACACAAGCACATTTCAGCTAGAAACAACTAACAACTACCCCACCCTTGAAAACATTAACATTCTAAACTCCGGAACTACAGATTACGAACTCTTTATTAAAGAAAGCCTCTCCATTTTCAGTGATCACCAAACACTAAATAATAAAATAAACTCCTCCCTGTTGTCATTAATTTAATCAATTCCAGACTTCCAGTTTTTTTATTTGATTATTATCATTATTTTAAAGATGCAATGTTTATGCTTATCTTTATGGCTTTCTTTATAATGTTTTCTCTTAATATTATTAAATATGTGTATCGTACATTCTGTTATATTGTTACCATTTAAAATCTGTTCTTTCTAAACTTCCGATTGAATACGAAAACTACTCGCTCAGTAGCTAATGTTGTTTGTAGTTGTGGACTAGCTTTTCGAGGTTTTAAGGTTGATGATAAAATTTGAAGCAATTCCGAAACCTCCGTAATTAAAGAGGTTTTCTAACGTACAGCAGTTTAATTTATTTTTGTTTTAGGAGACGAATTTTATGACGTAATTATCGTAGCATTAAACGCAAACGAATGTGGCAATGGAAATGTAAAACTGGGTATAGATCTAGGTGTGGAAAAAAAGGCTACATACAGATCACAGATTTCAGAGGAAAGAAATATAAATATTTAAATACTTTTGTTCTTAGTACTAGTGATGTAATTATAAGTCGTTTTTATATAGAAGTTGCTATTTCAACTAGTGTAAAGTACGCAGTGAAGAACAACAGTAACAACTAGTGAGAACAGAAGATTTCATTTCATATATTTTACTTTGTATTTTATTAACAACACACAAAAAATACATGTCAACATATTAAAATAGTGTTTGAAAAATATATAAAACGATTATTTCCAGAAATAACTACATAAATTTCTAAGCTAACAAAAACTAGCCTGCATACAGTGAGTAAAAAGCTACAGTCATTTTATTACTACAATCCATAAACGTACCCGAGATATTTGAACCTAAACCTATGTGTTCCTTTTCCGTGAATTTACATTTCAGGTAGTTTCCTTGTCATTTAAATTTCTTTTAAATTAAACATCACTTTTCAAATATTCGCCGAATAATTTTTGCAATACATTGTTCACATACTCATATTGTTATAGTTACTGACTTGTCACACTACTACAATATCTGCGCGTTCTCCGTCATCGGATAATGTAATGCTATAAACGTAAGTAAAAATATCTATTCCAAAAAGTAATATAGTTTCAAACTGATATTCTAAATGTTAGTAATTATTGAATATACTATTTTTGAAGCTACTAATCAACTGAAGTTCACTGTTTTTATTCAACAGTCCTCCTGCTCGAACACAGAATTTGGCGGCGACAGAGTAAATAATTAGTTGATCTATAACTCTATGACCTGATAATACACACACATGTTATGTGGGATTTTCTTAGCTCTCGTACCTTCAAAATTTCTAATCGTAAATATTTTTGTTTTTAATATAAGAAATACTCGTTTATTATTATTTCGAATGATTTTAATATACTGAATACTCTGAAAATAAGTAACAATTTTGGCAAATAGATTTACGATTTATATAAAACAGTAATTTTCCGTACGAGGAGTGAAAATTTATTTTTACATTTGTGTTATGTAAGGCTTCCTAATCACCATAAAATTTCCTATTGATGAAGAAAAGTTTTTTTGTGTAATTTGAATACAGTTGGTGATAATTTTATCACGAACAATCGGCGATGCCCTGTAGAAAATTAAATGCTGTATTAACTCCTATTGTCATTCATTTATATGAGACATATTCTACAGCTTTCCCAGTCAACTTTGCAAAAAGAGTAAGTTGTTATAACTGTGATTTTGCAATTCTTTAAGCATTCAAGAATTTTAATTTATCATTATTATATATATTTGATCTATTACATATGTATACATTATACATGGTTAGCTGTTTTGTGTAATATATTTACCATTGTTTAAATCATCAACAAATAACTAAAATGAATTTCAGTGAGTGACGAAATCGAAAACCTAGATGCCTAAAAATGCTAAAATATTTTCATAAAGAGTCCTGAAAACGAAATTGCTTTGATGTGACAGTTCGAAACACACACAAGAAGCGTAATAATCAGGGTTGGTTGGCACACGACGCCAACAAACATCGATATGGCAGTGGTAACGATCCAGTAATGACTAATTAAAGGTAACCGCAATATATTTAACTTGCATGTGTATTAGAATCTATCAAGTATTTAGCTATATTTTTCATGATAAGGGTCAATAATTGTCAGTGATAAGAGAAAAACACTTTGTTGACAAACCTCTGCGTCTGATATTTAGGCCTAACATTACGTTTTTGTAAATTGTACACTCAGGTATTCAGGAATTAGGCCTATGTTTCATTCAAGTAGCGAGATCTTGTGGTTTCTGTTCAACATTGTTTACATTATCTAAGTCAGTAATATATTTTTTGTGTCATATATAATCCTAATATTCATCAAATATCTTGAAGGCTTGAGATAAATATAAGTATGCATAAAATATGTTCATCAGATAGTACTTTGCACACCACAGTCATAATGAGTATGTAAACGATAACAGAGTAAAATTTTTGAAAAACTTCACATGTTAAACGAGTTAAGTCTAAGTTAAAATAAAACCGCTTAACAGAACTGATTCAACTATGGGGAAACACTTTACATCACATAGACATAAAGCTTGCTTTCAAACTGAGGATCAACACATCGTAACAAAGCCGTTTGTAACATATTTTGATTGGCATATTGCGCACTTTAGATGTTTGTATTTCTAGTTTAAACTATGACATTTTTAGAATTAAAATTAATGAATAAAATAAGACCGGTGTGAAAAGATAACAAAATAGAAATATGTAGATTTGTATATTTATTATTAAAAACAAGCATACAAAATGGGCTATCTGTGCTGTGGCCACTGCGATTAGCGAAACTAGCGTTACAATTCCCCATATCTGCCGCTGAGCCACCGGGCAACGAAATATAAAACAAACAATTCGTTTATGTGATGTGCACTTCAGCAAACTGATATTTTCAAAGAGTTTCCGCCATCTTGTAATACAGAAAATGGAGTTGTTCCAACATCCTTCTGTTACAGGGTAGAATCATACCCATATGATAAGTTCGGTAGTGTTGGGTAATGAAAAAGATAGTTTATACATGAAAAAACAACAGTAGCAACGTTTTAAAGAAAATGTGAGAATAAAAAATAATTATTCTTATGACTATTGTCAGAAGGTTTTAGAAATGCTTTCGTAATCCCAATCGTAATAATTAAAAGCAACATTTTAATTTATTCACAATAACCTAAAGTTAGTTTTAGATTTTTCATTATGTATAATATATTATTAATGAATTTGGTCTTGTCTACACAGAAAACGTCATATTTAAACACGTAATTAAACTTCACTTTTCATCATTCTAGTGTATAACAATTAAAAAAGCCCTTACAAATGTGAATAGACCTACAGGGTGTTATAATACTTAATTATTTAACAACAACTGCTACCTCAACCCTACTTATTTTATACGCAGACACCAAAGATGTAGCAGCCAGCTGGTGGAAGATATTACAATAAGGTTTTAGAAGTTTGAATATTTGTGACTTTGTCAAATTGAAGAAAACAAGACGTGATTAAACTTACTCTAGTAAGTTATAAGAAGATAACAATCTCCAATTTATTGAGAATATTCATAAAAGCTGATTTATGTATTTTTGCTTAAGATTTTCATTTTTCTCCTTCAAATATGAAAAATTCGAGTATTAAAGACAGAGACTGATAAAACGTTCTACATCTTCATGGTTACTTCTTGGCTTACATAACATGAAGGTTAGCGCAGGACTTGGATCTCCGACATTTCTTCTGGAAGAACTGCTTAATTCTGTCCTTACTTCTCAAAGAGCTAACCGTTGAGAAGGATAATCCAATAATTTTATCTAAACTAACGGAACAACGCTTCTTTCCTGACCTATCTGACTGAGAGTATTTCAGTCGAATTTGACTGAGGATTCCTACCAGAAGTTCATCTACATGATGGTTGATTCCTGCTGAAGTCTCGATGAATTTACAGTTTTGGGACGTAGCTAAATCTCTTCCAGCTGAAAAGAAAATCGTACATGAATATTTTGAAATAACAAAAAGATAGAGAAAGTCCACTCTGGCTTTATGCAAAGTTTGTTGTCTAAGTACTTAACTTCCGATAATTTTGTAGACCTTAATGGAACGCAAAATATAGAATTCTTAAACAATGAAGCGTAAGGATTCAATTGAACATTGCTTTAAAAAAAATATGTGTACATATTGATTTCTATTTTATTTTCCAGCTTAATAAAAAGATTTAATGATTTTTTTCACTGCTGTAATCAAGGTTAAGGTTAACAGCCTTATAGCTTCAAATGTGCTCTACTATATTTTTGAAGAAAATCCTTTGTTCCAAGTGTTTTCTAATATAAAAATAAGTTAAAAGTTTGAGTTATTATTTTTTTTCTTAATTGTTAACCTTGGGGTTAACAACTTGTTTCGTAATCAGAAATCCTGAATGAGATCACAAATATACCTAAGTATATTGTTCCTAGAAACCAGTTGAAATAAAAAATAATAATAATAGAGTGACTTTAATTTTATTAAAACTAGAATATTATTTTAACTACTAGGCTTAACGCTTATTATAGTAAAATAATCATATTTTATACTTACCCTAAGTATCCTGTTTTGTTTTACTTACCGTCAGTACTAACTGTTCTTAATCTCGCCAAGTCCGTCTTATTTCCCGCCAAGATTACAGCTTTTTTCTCCATATCTTGTAATTTTTTTATATGCTTTATAATGGTTTTAGCCAGTTGAAAACTTTCTCTGTGAGCTACCGAGTACACCACTACATAGGCATCGGCGTTCTCTACCAGCAAGGTAAGGTTTGTTTCTGTCTGGAAGAAAGTGAGCCAAAGAAAAGTATGACTGAAATGAATTGTACGAAAAATGTATTCTGTCTAATATTTTTCTGGCGGTGCCTTTAGAAAACTTTGGCTTAAAGCGTAAGTCGTCGGCAAAGACATAAGGGTAATGCTTCTAACGCATGTGCACAGTTGATCTTTCTTCCAGGATATATGGGTCGATTGCTATCGTTTAGAATATATTTTTGCTAACTTTTTCAACTTATGCGCAAACTTTTAAGTAAAGAAGATGTACAGAAGTACAAATGAAATTAATACTCAGGGAAGTATATGCATATATAGGTTTTTAAATAATACAAAATTAATGACTGAACACAATTAAAATAAATATTCATATTAGAGGTTTATCAAGCAAGGAAAAACAGTGTTTAATTATCCATCAATAAGTACCAAAATGTCTCGTTTTAGTGTTAGAAATTCTTATTGTTTATATCAATACAGTGAGAGGTGAAGCTGGAATTATCTGTTCAAAAATATACGTTTTTATATATATGGTAATCATTTAATTAATAATTCCTTAAATGAAAGGATATTTAGGAAAAACAAGAAATAACCTTAAAATAGCTCTATGATATATCTATTTGTCAAGGAGAAATTATTATATTAATTAAAACAGTATATGATTATTAAGATAACTTATGCAATGTTCAGTTATCACACATTTCAAAAATTGTAATATAATTTATAAATATAAGGTTAGTGAATCAAAAAAGTTTTATAAACATATATTGCGCGTGAACCTACTAATTTGTTGTGTGTATATATATATGCAAAATATGAGCAATAATAACAATTAAAAAGGTTTTAGTCAAACTCCATTTGTTTGTTATATCAAAAAATTTGCTTCACTATCTTACAGTACCCATTTTGAACTATAAATCGAATCGTTTTGTATGAAAGGGATTTTAGGTCATCAACTGAGTCGTTATTTATGAAATATATATATACAACAAATAATTTTGATAGACATAATATTAAACCAGTATAGAATTAAATTACACTGGAATTTTCATCTGTTCGAACCATAAAATTCCTCAGATTATGTAATTCATAAATAGTTCTATACTCCCTTTTTTTGTTGTTTCACGGAGCTTCTCCCACTACGCCCTTTCAGCCGTGGGGGCGTTATAATGTTACGGTCAATCCCACTATTCGTTGGTAAAAGAAGAGCCCAAGAGTTGGCGGTGGGTGGTGATGACTAGCTGCCTTCCCTCTAGTCTTACACTGCTAAATTAGGGACGGCTAGCGCAGATAGCCCTCGTGTAGCTTTGCGCGAAATTCAAAAACAAACAAACAAACAATTTATTGGAGTTTGTCCTCTGCTGCTCCTTTTAAATATACTAAATCTTATATCGCGAGCGGGGTGAAGAGAAACCTATTTCTGAACATCCCCGGTTTCCTATGGACCTAGAATTCTACTTTAATCTGTGTCCCTGCACCCAAACCGAGACTAACTACCAAGTTAAAACAAACAAACTTATATCGTTGACAAAATTTGTATCTTCTTGTATTATCACTCAGGTAATACCAAGTAAAATACTATAAAAAATTTATATGTATTTAGAAAAAAAAGGAGTGTTTAATAAAACAAACGAGTGTTTAAAAGTTCACTTTATAACATCTAATGTTTATTTAGCAATACTGTAATTTGTGGTATTGTTAAATTTTATGTCTGACGCAAGCATACAACCCTTATGTGACTCGAACCTATGTTACTTAAAACCTTCTGATAAATATAGTACACCTACTGATCACAAACTCCAGTCGAATAGACGTTAAATTATTATTTGTGATAGCGGGTCTATTAAGTTGTAAAGAATAGTAAAGTTATCAGTTATTTAAGTAATGCACAACGATGCAGACATCTCTATGGCGAGTTGCCAGGTCTGTTTTATGATTAAAATGTTTGAGCGCTAAGAATTAATTAGTCTTTGATCTAACCGTTATTACACTTTATACATATCGGCATTTTAGACAGTGTACTTCTAAAAATATTGAAAAGGTTTGGCAAATAAAGTAAATACTACACGAATTATTTTTAACACTCTGGATCAACAGCAGTGGGAAATTAAAAATTTTAAATATTAAGATTTGACGATTTGGGAAAAGCACAAAAAGAATACTAACTTTTTTTAAAGATGAAAGGGTGCCGACAGAGAATATAGCATTGTGCGTTGGATTTGGGCTTCTTATACAGATCAGTTGATTTTTTTTTTCTTAATTATTTCACCTTTTATACATGTTGTTAAGAGACATACATGCTCAGCGAGAAGAGACGCCACCATATTTGATTTGAACTGTTTTATTTGAGAATGTCCACAGTTGGTTTCTTTATGTAAGTTGCATAATGTTAAGTAACATCCCACACACTGCACATACGACATTTTACTGCACTATCTTTGAATTATAATTATGTCTTATCCATGGGGAAGGACACATATTGTATTTCCAACGTCTCTTCCGTCTTCCTTCTAATAATTACGTTTGTCCACTATTCGAAACTTGGAGGGCATATGCATGGGTCTAACACATCTAGATAGCTTTTTTATTCAGTTTTCTGATCCGATTTTAATATTTCAAAGGTCAAACATTACAAAAACATATTTTTTCCTGCGATTCCTTTATATTTCCATAATCCAAATGAAGCCTAGCATAACGATATCTTGAGAAAACTCTCACAAACTAAAGTAGACAAACTTGGAAGTTGAGATTTAAATTCTTTTTCTTTAAGAGCTAAGGTAACAGTCGCAAAATTAGGGTTTTTAGATTTTTTTCTTTATATTTCTACCAATACAGATTAAAATTTGCACAAAGGTACGTTACAACAATTCCTACAAACTGAAGTACAGTTTTGGGGTTCGTGCCTTTCTTACGATATTACAAGGATCAAACTATTTTGCAGAATTAGGATTTTTTGGCTTCCTAGTCTTATATTTTGACCAATGTGGATGCTATTTTTGCGTAATGATACCTTGTGTCAATCTCCACATACTTAAACAGACATATTTGAGATTCCTTCCTCTCCTACGATATTACAAGAGTCAAAGTTCAAACTATTTTGAAGGATTGAGGTTTTTGGATTGCTATTTCTTTATATTTCGACCGAAATAGATGAAACTTAGCACAAAGGTACCTTGCGACAACACCAAAGACTGAATCAGACATATTTGAATTTTCACATTTCCTTTTATTTTACAGAAATATATATAATAGGGAGATCTGAACCCAAAGATATGGCCTGCATATCTAAACGTTACAAGAGGTTGTTATTAATAATGTCTTGATTCACACAATTTATAAAATCGATATATTATGTCGAAGTATAGGCTTTATTTGCCAAACATTACTTACAAAGTTTTTGTCTTGTAAAGAAATCTATTTACACTGAAACTGTCTATTCTATGTATTATAAAGTCACGATTTAGTATGATCCAACATGTCTTTATCACAAATAAGTCCCTAGTTGATACTGTGTTAAGTATCTCTCCTCTGAAGTTTATGCCCTCGTTCTCTGCCTTAAATACCTTGAAAGCTATTATATTCTGAGGATTGTTTCGAATAAGGTGGATGTGGGAGACATATTGCATTCGCTTAAAAATTTTAACTATTATATATATATATATATATATATATTTTGCATTATTGAAATTAATAGTTTTAGGAATGAAGAAAACTGATAAAAAAATAAACAAAATCAAGACAAATGAAAAAGGTGGTTTTTTGTGAACTGTTTTGTTCATTAAATATTTTGTAAGTTACTCCCTGTGTTTTCTGTTTGTTTTTTGAAATGTTATTATAATGATATTAATAACAGTAGATCTAGATATGTATATATACCTACACAGGTTTTTTTGTTGTTGTTCCATTTCAACTGCCTGTGTTTGAATCAAATATTCAATTAGTTTATAACACTTAATGTTTCAATATTATAAAATCACCCAGGAATAGATAAATTTCTTAACAATACTAACGACACAAGCCACCTGTATGAGCAAGTCTTAAGCTTAATTCATTACAGATTCTACCTGATATTATATGAATTAAAAGCTAGTCATCACTTGTTAGCCTTCGTATGAGTAGGATCCAGAAACAAGAAAAATAAAATTCCCAGTCAAAGGTGTTAAGATGAAATATAATTAAGTGAAGGTAATTCAGTAGTAAAAATTATTTTCAAAGTAAAACTTCAAAGAAAATTCCAACATATATTGATAACAAGCGAAGTTTCATAACATACATACGTTGTATATTTGTTTAATGTATGTATAAACAACGATTTTCAGTGCAGATTATTAATATGACTAGATCTGAGCATTGATGACTAGATGTGGACATTGATGACTACATATGGGCATTGATTCTGGTTAGAGGAGTTTCGGAAAACATGAGGTAACAGAATGATCTGGGTAAAAGTTTTAGATTCAGGTTACCTGTTATCGTTTTCTTCGTTATTATTACCGTTGATAATGGCCCTGATATTTATATCGATTAGCTACATCTTTATATTGTCATTATCACTTACTAAAAGCGCTTTTAGTTTCTTTATAAACATTCTCACAATGATTCATTCGTACCAGTAATGCTATCATGTTACTGGCATTACTTCGTACAATATTATTTTAGATATGTTTTATAATTATTGAATTATTAACAATATAATTAATTCAAATTGGAATGGTAAACTGAACGGCACCTTATGAACATGTGGGTTAAATGGGTGCAGATATAGCCGTCACTAGCTTTGTAATACTGATTAGAGGGAGGGCAGAAAGTCAGCAGCACCTGCTACCATTATGATTTCGCGACTGACTGTAACTTTTATGACGCACCAAAAGCTGAAGGTGCGGAACGTGTTCAGCAGTATCGTGTCTTTAACCTCAGTGCGCCAATAAATAGGTCACGTTTTATCATTAAAATTATTGCTTTATATTTAGAATTTAAGATTAAGAATGTAATTGTAATTCTTTTAGCCGCCACCCTAAACATTGGTTGTTAAGTATTCCAGTTTCTTGAGCCCAAGTAATTTATATTTTTGGTTAAGGCGCTTGACTCGCAGTATGCGAATTTGAAGCAATTCCGAAACGACCGTTTTTAATATTTATTATAAAACTTCGTTTTCTACTTGAAGAATCATTTGTAAGTACTCTGACACAGC